ACTTCAATGTTCAAAAGAAATGCAGCCACAGTCTTAGTGTGCACCATTATGCTTTGGGGGGCGCGAAGGCCRGGAGGCAGCCATTTTCAGTTTACCGAAAGTCTTTAACTTATACCCTGTGTATTTTGAATCTTTGACCATCTCACTTTTTTCAAGCTTTTTAAACACTAATTAGAGTTTTYAACCATCTGACATTCATTTTATGGTCGTGATATTTGGATAACAGATTAGTATTTTTGTGTAAATCATGAAAAAATAACAGAGGTGTTCAAAGCATAATGGTGCAAACTGGGCCTTCAAACCTTCACAAGAACTTATTYATAATATTTTTATATACCAACATGTAACTTAGCTTAGAAGTTAGTAATGGTTTGTGGACACTAAATTTTCCACTAACCTTTCAGGACCACCACCCCCAGGAGTAACCCCAGGCTATGGCGCACCTCCCCCTGGAGCCCAACCCTATGGGGGCCATCAACAGCCACCACAACAAAGCTATGCAATGCATCAACAACCTCMTGCTCATGTGGGGCACAGTCAGCCTCCTCCAGCTGGTAGGTCTATTATTGAAGGGACAATAGGTACATTAAGTGGCAGGTGCATTATCATGAAGGGCTAGTTGTATAATGAAAGGATCACATACTAGGTACATTATGAAAGGGCTGATGCACATTAGGTACATTATTTTGATGGTATTATTGAGAGGTACATTTGATTATGAAGGGATCATATTGAGAGGTACATGACGTACATTGTTATGAAGGGTTCGTGTTGAGAGGTACATTTTTATGAAGGGATCATTATATTGAGAGGTACATTTTTATGATAGATGGGGTCATTTGAGCTGGGTACATTATTATGATGTGATCATATTGATCTAAGGCACATTATTATGAAGGGGTCATATTAGGCACATTATGAAGGGGGGCTCATATTGGATGCATTGAATATTAAACAAGGGATCATGCTCCACAGTTATGTAAAAAGATAAATTTAACACCGTAAAAAAGTATGTGGAAAAACTTACTGACGTTTCGGATGTTAATCCTTCGTCGGAGTAAAGAGACTGAGAGAACTAGGTACAGTGTGAGTTTATATAGTAAGAGTAACAAAGAGTAACATGCTCCACATACTGTTATTATCCTCCACCTTAAGTGATTGGTGTATTACTATGAAGTTATTTGATAAATTCATATTTACTAATTATTTTGTTGTCTGGCTTGTTCACAGCTCATGCTCCTGCTCCTCACCAGCAGACTGCACCAGCCTCGCATGGAGCTCCCCCTCAGCGRCCTCCTCCTCCATCATCATCTGTAAATACATAAACTATTATTTTGTAAACTACATAAAATAAAACATGTTTTTTTTTGTTTGAAGGTATTTTCCCTCAATACTTGCTAAACTGAACTGTTGTATATGTCTGAGTAATAGAAACACTAGCTCTCTATTGAAGGACAAACACTCAGGTCAATTTAATATATTACCACACTTGTGTAAATTCTCACGTGCTGATTGGCTGATTAGAGTGTGTCAATAAGAGGACATGCACACTGCGCTGACACCATCACGTCTTACGCGCATTCTCAATTGAAAGAAAAGAATGATTTTTGACAGTTTTTAGAATGCGCTCTTGGGACACTTGAGTTTTGAGCATTTTATGACGTCAAGAGTGTGTCAATAAGAGGATATACTACTCAAAACCGTAATAATAATTTGTTCATTAGAGTCATGGGTGTCTCTGATTTATGTGCATAGGCTGGATCAGCACCTCCAACATCTCAAATGACCTCAATGTCTATAAATCAGGTAAATAAAATTTACATTTTTATCCATGATCTTTGAATAAAGGAATACTTAATGTAGCAGTCGACTATAGAGTATATTAATTAAGAAATTGATAATTTGCAGAAAACACAGAAATATGGAAATCCTACTGTCAAACCCATCTCACCATTTGATGCTGAAGCTGACTGTGAATTGCTTAGAAAAGCAATGAGAGGAATGGGTAAGTCAGCAGACAGACAGACGGACAGATAGGGGTAATGTGGATATAACATGCAGAGCAACAAATAGACACTAGACAGAAAATAAAAACAGATGGATGTATTGATGGATGGATAGTTAGGCAAACAAATTGACTGACAGGCAGACGGAAAGACACATGGGTAGACAATGCGGGATTCACTGATGCAAATTAAGATTTATCAAAAATTCCTTTTTCTGCTTTTATCTCTGGTGCAAATGACATCATTATCACTGAAGTGCATGATTGCATTCCCAAAGAATAATTATAGGGAAGGTTTCATCCATATATTGTCTGCTCAGAACTAAAAAAGTACAAAATAAAGTTAACTTTTTTCTATTTCTTAATATTTAAGTTTATCTTTCTACTTATTTTCATTCATTCCTTCCTTAAAATACACTTTTCATCCATACATCTACCAATTTGTCCACCCAGAACTTGGAAAAAAAGCTCACAATAAAGTTTAGAAAGTAGCCAAAACCATGCAAAGTTGGCCCTAATACTTTATTATTTTGGAATTTCTGTTTATAGGTACAAATGAACAAGCACTCATTGACATCATTGCACAAAGGGGCAATGCGCAACGTGTGGAAATACGRAAGAGATACAAAACAATGTTTGGCAAGGATTTGATGAATGATTTGAAGTCTGAACTGAGTGGTAACCTTGAAGGCTGTCTTCTTGCTYTGATGGAACCTTCTTCATTGTATGATGCCAAGTGTCTTAGAAGAGCAATGAGGGTAAGTTCAAAAAGGAAAGACTTCAGGGGGGGGGGGGGGGGGGGGGGGGGGTGAGTAGATTCAATGGGAGGCATGGACAAGAAGGAAAAGAATGGCAAAAGAGAGGCAGAGATGATGGGAAAGAGAAGATAAAATAAAAGGGAATGAGGAAACTGAAGTGTTTAAAAGTGGAGGAAAGGAAAGGGGCAAGGAGATAGGACAGAAGCTAGAGAGAGGTGAAGGAAAAATAGGAGAAGGGAATTCGTCAAAAGGAGTGAGAAGAGTTGTCAGAAGTGGGGGAGTGAAAGAGATGGAAAGGAAAAGTAGAGGCCCCCGCAACTTGGGTGGGGGTGACCCTGTTCCAGAGTGAAATTGCTGAAAATGATACCCTGTTCCAGAGTAAAATCATGCACTAGCTTTGTTGTAGACCAAATTTTTGTACCCTGTGAATTTTTATCCAGCATCAATAATTCCGGAATTAAACCCTGACCCTGTTCCAGAGAAAATTCATTGAAATCGATACCCTGTTCCAGAGTAAAATCGCTAAAAACGATACCCAGTTCCAGAGTAAAATCGCTAAAAAACGATACCCAGTTCCAGAGTAAAATTGCTGAAAACAGTTGGCAGTACATCCCTGAGGAGATGAGAAAAGTACTGTACCAGGAACAAAGAACTAATAATTGAAGATTATAGAAGAAAAAAAAAACGAATGGGAGAGGGAAAAAAATAGAATGACAATATTTTGTGTTTTCTTGACAGGGTGCTGGCACTGATGAAGAGACTCTAATTGACATCTTGTGCACCAGGACAAATGCAGTATGTATTTAGATCATCACTAATCGTATATATATAAATATATTCTTTTGGGCATAGAGTTTGAATACGAAAAGGGATTACGAGAAGATAAATTATATTATAAAAGATACTAGAAGACTAAATATCTCAGTCTTTTTGTGTGAGAGTTAAATTGTTATGGAGTGCAATTGTGAAGTACTTATGCTCTGAATATCCTATTGGCTACAATCTAATAGGCAAATAGTCATTGAATAAGATTTATGAGACAAATTCATTGTTATATCATTAGGAAATAATGGAAATCAAGAGATCTTACACTGAATGTAAGTAGAATGTTGAACATGAAACATGTTTATAAAGAAATTCAACTAAATTCTCCCAACGGTTCTTTGCCAATAAACTCTTTCATTATTGAGAAAGATGAATAAATTAGTCGATCAGTTAACCAGACATTATTGCTATTTTTTAATCGCAGTTAACCAGACATTACTGCTATCTTATAGCTATCAATATACCAGACATTTTTGCTATCTTAGACTATCCGTTTTAAAAGCAGACATTGTTGCTGCTTTAAGTCAGACAGTAAACCAGACACTTTGCCATCTAAGTCTAACAGGAAACCAAACACTTTGCCATCTAAGTCAAACAGTAAACCAGACTTTATTGCTTTCTAAGCTGGACAGTAAACCAGACACTTTGCCATATAAGCCAACTATAACATATTCATGTTTGCCATAATATTAATTACAGAGAACATGAAAAGAATGTGCACAGCAGTTTCTAGAAAAATCATTCGACAGATTACATGTTAATACACTGTTAATAAGATTGCTTACTTTATACAGACTACAAACGTGACCTTGAGAAGGACTGTGTTAGTGAGACTAGTGGCCATTTCAAGAGATTACTGGTGTCAATGTGTCAGGTAAGTTGCTTGTCTTCAGCCCAGTCCCCCTAGTATCCTTCCCAGCTAGAAATGCCTGCAGGAGACTAGGCTGGATTGACTTCAATTAATCATAGATTGTGGAGCGTCATATCTTTAAAAAAAATTGGTAAAGAGAAAAAATGGTAAAACATTGAGAAGATTTGCCATGGACCTTACACAGGTTTTGTGTGTGGATAATAATAATAATAATAATAATAATAATAATAGTAATAATAATAATCGGTGATAGCTAATCCTTCCTCATAGCCAGAGTACTGATTTATGAATGACAGGGCTCGTGATTGGGTTGATTATGTGATATACGAGGGCACTAGAGCGGATTTCGTATGAGTGGGAAACGGACGGTACTGTACTGTGGCCGTAATCGTACTGTAACCACATTCTAGTGCCCCATTGGTTCACAAAAATTGTGCAGGCCAGGTGCAGTAACTGTGCGGTAGCCGTGTGGTAACGGTGTCCTACTCATATGAAATCCGCTCTATCACATAGTTACAACACACACAAAGCAGCCAACAAACTGACCCATATGCTGATCACAGGAGCACAGCTAGGATGGACATGTTCCGTTTTTGTTGAGGGAGGAAAAATTGGAGAACTCGGAGAAAAACCCTCAAGGGAACGGAAACAAACTTAATAAGCCACATTTGATCCCAACTCAGTCTGTCACGGCAGTAACCAGCCAAATGTGCAAAAACAGTGGACAGTGCTAAAACACTTTTTTTATAGCAAACTATATTCAACGTACAATAAATATTTGTGTGTTGTTTATTTGTGTGTTTTCGTACTAAATATTTGTGTGTTTTTATTCTCAATGTAGGCTAACAGAGATGAGTCTACAACCGTAGATATTGCCAAGGCTCAGAAAGAAGCCCAAGACCTCTTTAAGGTAATGAAAACATTATTTTTACCATAACTAATAGAATTCTTGTGCGCTGATTGGTCGAGAGCCGTTGTCGATCGTAGGACAGACCGATGAAATGACGAATTGCTTACGCACGGAGCCGACGCGCGCCAGAAACGATTTTGTTTTGAAAGTTTTACTTTGTTTTCGGCTTTGTTAATGGTAAAAAACAAATCGAAATCGCTTTTCTATGGTCTGTACGCTTATGGACAATGAAAATGACGCCAGAAAATAATCAAAACTTGGCAGTGAAACCACTTTCATTGTCGATAAGCGTACAGACCATAGAAAAGCGATTTGGATTTGTTAAATTACTAATAGTGACTCAAATGTTTGGTGAAAATAATGTCTCATTGAGCACAAGAAAAATTTGAAGACTGGTTCACTTATGCAGGGCTCAAAATAACAGCCAGAAATGCAGGACAAGAAATTCATAATTTTTGGAAAGGCATGCCAAGTGTTGAAAGGACAAAAACTTTATTGTAATATTATTTTCTGTTAAATTATAGGTTTTTGTATTCAGAAAGATTGGCAAGCATTTTAATGGCTTGTAAAAGATTTATTTATAGCGAATTGAAAATTGATTGTTTTTTTATTTGATTAAAAATGTGGCAGGTCAATTTGYCCTTTCAAAACCAGATTTGGCCARTCATCTAGAGAATTTGGACTATTTAATTYCCTATTGTTTTAATGACTACCATTCTCTAACTCCAGGCAGGAGAGAAGAAATGGGGAACAGAYGAGTCTCGCTTCAATGTTGTCTTGGCTAGCCGTAGCTTTGTCCAGTTGAGAGCAACCTTTGAAGAATACATCAAGGTAGGTAACACAAATTCCTACTGTTCCCTCAAGTTCATAAACTAACACAACATACATCTGCCTAGACGGTCCAGGCTGAAATCTCCACTTTAATCACACGTGAGCATCGTCTACAATCATGATACAGTTAGCATTGAGCGCAGTAAATCACTCTGTAATACAACCATCAAAAATTCTAAAGTTCAAAAGTCAATCAAAGCTTGGACCACACTGATTACACAATCCCTTGACACACATTATAGAAAACTCATTAGCATACTGGGCCCAGTCCTCTCGTTCCCATAGGAACACATTTCTCTCTCCATTCCAATACGCTCTGCTCCTTGTCCATTACAAGAGAAATCCAGCATTTGATTAATAACAATTTATAAATGATTAATAGTAATAATTAAAGGTAGTCAGAGTAGATTGATATACTTAGTTTCATATGTTTCTTTATGGTATATTTTTATTTTCTTTGTGCAAAATGATCACTACAGCTCATCGATATAAGAATTGTATGAATGGTTCGAAACTTGGGTGAACAGTCTTTTGTGCAAGATGACTGGATTCCAAGTAAAATRTAAATCAGTGATTTCATGGCAACTAATATATGTAGAAATCATCTTTTTGTAGATTTCTCAACGTGATATTCTGAACAGTATTGATAGAGAGATGTCTGGTGATCTTAGAGCAGGCTTCAAATGCATTGGTAAGATGTCAACTTAAAATAAAAGAGTAGGCTGGATATCCCATGAGAAATATCTCGAATTACCACAAATAATTGTAGTTATAGAAATTAATACTACAAATAATTGTAGTTATCACTGGCTGAGGCCGAATATTTAACAATTATTTCACTTGATTGTATCCCTATAGTTCAGTGTGCTCGTAATCCAGCCGAGTACTTTGCTGATCGTCTTTGGAAGTCAATGAAAGGAGCTGGAACTAATGATGATCTGTTGATTAGAATCATTGTGTCACGATCGGAAGTAAGACATAACTAACTTATATTGCAATTATAATAATGTATAGTAATGTATCGTCATGATCATTGTTGCTGTTCTCTGCATTAAATTGGTCTAGACAAACATCGCAACTTTAAGACTGTTGTCAATCAAACAAAGGTCTTCAATTGGGCTTATCTATCYTGTTAGCAACCATTTGCATGCCATTGGTCAGACCATTTTACACCCACGTGATGGCTGCAAAAGGAAGTTGTTTAAAAATAATGCCAATGTTTTTGATTAGTCTAAAGGCCAATTTATGCATTGCCATTTCTGGCATTCAAGCTAAAGTACAAGTCTATTGGTCATTACCTGTTTAAATAATAGTTTTATCTGGGTTGGTTGTATACAATGCAAAGCTTGGTCATTGGTTGGTTGGTTGACTGGTGGAAGATCCAGAATATTACATATACATAGGGGAATGGTTACATGTAACTCAAAAAGTAGTAATTGGATAGATTTAGGCCTGTGGGAAATGAAAAAAAAATGCTGTTTAATTTGTGTTAACAGAATGAKTCTCATTCGTATTTTAATATTTTTGAGCCTTAAAAATGGGAGTGTCTACTCCCCTAATCAACCCACTGTGGCCACCATTGTTTAAATCTATTCAATATTATTTTATTTATCTCATCTACTTTTTTTATGTTCATTCAGGTTGATCTTGTAGAAATCAAGCAGGCCTTTTTACTGAAATACCACAAGACTGTATACAAGATGATTGAGGGAGACTGCAGCGGAGACTACAAGAAATTACTCTTTTCTATTGTTGGGAGGAACTAAATTACTGGAAAATGATTAAAAATAAAAAAAAACACCCTGATAAGTGATGATGACATGTTTTCTCTGTATTTAAGAAATTATCTGGTTCCATATCAAAAATTAATTTTGATCAAAACGTTTTTGTAATGAGTATTTTTTGTGGTTCTATATAGTTTCTTAAAGGGACACTGTCAATGGATGACATGCGCGCAGTAACAGTCTCACCTCTAACGGACTTTGAAAGTATTACCTTCGAGGTAAATCATTTTGTGGTGCTTTTGACACACTTTGGAATATTCTAGATCTGTTTACGTTTACGAGCTGATTTATGTCGTGCCAACTTGGAGTCATAAACTTGAAAACACTAGCCTAGTGTTTTCAAGTTTACTCGCGCATGTCATCCATTGACAGTGTCCCTTTAAAAGAAGCATATCATTCATTTCAGGGACTTAATGTTGGAAATATTATCACTCATTTATTTGATGAGAAGACAATTTCTCCTTACCTTGCACCTTGAAATTAGATTTTCATCACAAATTGTTAATTAGTAATTCTCTAGTAGCAAAGTTGAACAAATTCTTTTACTGACAATGTCCTTGTAGAACAGCGGATTTCGTATGAGTGGGAAACGGACAGTACTGTACTGTGACTGTAATCGTACTGTAACCAAATTCTACTGCCCATTGGTTCACAAAATTTGTGCAGGCCAGGTCCGGTAACTGTGCGGTAACCGTGCGGTAACGGTGCCCCACTCATACGAAATCCGCTAACAGTCCAATAAAACATTCACTGTCACTCAAAAATGAATTAGAAGCTTGATCCATTTAGGACATTTAGTGGGTTAACTTACTATTATGAAATTTTAGAAAATACCCGTAAGCATTTCACCAAGAAGGAATTTTGTTTCTTTTCTCATTGCTCTCTAGTCCTGAACAGTTTTGTATAAGCCTTTAGTAACATTATTTTGTATTGTAAACCACATTAGAATACCTGTAAGTACATAGTACTGGGTCAAACCTTTAAAGCTTGTTTAAAGTTGCTCTCATTTGACTCTGCACTAAAAGTGACTTTTTGATTGTATTTTTTGTGGTAAAGAAGCAAAGACTGAATAGATTAAGAGTGTTACATCATCTATTTGTCTCTAATCGTTCGCAGTCACATGAAAACAACTCTAAACTAAACAATAATAAACTTTAATACAGAGAATCCCACATCCCCACCTAAAATAGTTGTCTGAATTTTGTTSTTTGATGCAATTCTATGTATTCACCATGCACTGCATTGAATAAAACAATTTTTTCTGAACTAAACTTTGTTATAATTGAGAATTTTGTTCACTATTTTATGTATTTTCCACTCTATTTTAAAGTACACTTGTTTTGAATGTTAAGTTTTTTTATTTATTTTCAATTCAATTTACAACTAACTTTTACTAATTAAAAACATTACACCTTTTTACCTAAATAAGTTTTTTTTAAACATGCTTTCAAAAAAGTCTTTATATGTGCCCAAGAATAGAGATTTGATACAAAGTAGTRTTAATTGTTATACAGCGCTGTTTTTTTATTTGCCATTTTCATCGGCAGTAAGACCTTATGATCGCTTGCATCGGCTAATTTTTTAAAATTATTCCTGAAGCTTTAGTTCAAGATTTTTAGGTGATTTAAAATTAAATCTTTCTTATTTCAGTCCAAAAGCATTTTTTACAAAGGCGGTGGTGAAAAAAAGACATAGTCATAGGTATTTTCTAAGACAGCAGTTTGCATTGCATTGTGGTGTAGATTTGGTACAAACATCTTTTGTTTGTGCTGCCAAATATGTCATTGTACTGAATCTAGACCACAACACCACTGTATTTCAAAAAAGGTCTATATATGTATTAAATTAAGCATGATTTTTTTTTTTCTTATTTGCTATTGGGCGTTTATTGCTGTATTCAACAATGAAGCTACAATATGCTATCGACCTTGAACTGAAGCAAAGATTAAACAAATTATGGCAATTCTATCAGCTGTTCAAGACTTAATGGAAGACAGATAAGAAGCAGGAAGTCACTTTCCAAATGACAATTGTCTTAGCCAACACTCAAGCCGTTTAAAGATACGTAATTCTTGTGTAAATAAACACTGTGTAAGTACATGGACTAGATGTTACTTGGAATTGGTAGCCACAGTTTTGGAAGATTACACCAGCTCCAAAAGGTGAGTTTCTCAGGTAGTTATTGAGACATCAGAATTGAGGCATCAGAATTTTCATGACTACTAATCCATCTGTCACAACATGTTATTGCTGAATTGCAGATTAATGAAAACTTGCAAGGTCGCATACAACAGCAACAGGAACAACTACAWTGCCATCTGGACTGGCAAAAAGCTTGAGAAGGCTTTGCTACAAGAGTTTCCTCTATCTAAAATGCCTAAATATGGCTTGCAAATTGAACAATACAATGTCAAAGGACTAAATAAAGTTCTCAGCAAAACTGCAACATAACTTGAAATTAACTTTCAATTAGGTGTAACATGCATTGGCTTTGTCTCGGCATGCGTTTGTTGAAGTGCATCACTTAATATATGAAAATAGAGTTCTTTCTGTACATGTTTGAAATTGAGGCTTATAGAATGGCGCAAGTTGAACGTCTTTCTCTAAATGGGTTGTCGTTGGCTGGTATTTTGATAATGAGAGGATCYTGTGTTTGGTTTTCAGTGCAGTATTGCATCAAACTGTAAAAAAAAAATAATAATAATAACTCCAATTAATAATAACATTGATTGAATTAATATAGATATTTCTTCATGTGTCCTTGTTGTTCTAAAAAAATACAATCTTTCACTGCAAAGCTTGACCGCTTGTCTTCCTTTCAATATTGTCAAAATATTTGAAACATTTGATGTACTGTTCTCTTGTGCCATGGCAAATATGCTCTAAGCCAATCAGATCAAAGCACAAAATATCACATATGAATAATATATTGATATTAAGTCATGCTTGACAAAAGAAGGAAATTAATATTATTATTTACTTGATTGAACATTAYTAAACAATATCAAATCAAGACAAAGACTGATTACATTCAATCTTTAACGAGTACAAATTCTAATTTCTAAATGACAGTTAGGTTCAACGTCCGGTATTTGCACATTTAGCTCATTCATTCAAAATGTTTACTATTGGACGTCCGTTTCAGCAACWTAACACGAAAGTGCAACGTCTGTYCAAAGAACAACAGCTTCTACGTTCCGCCAAAACACATTGAAGTAAAATTTCRACATCCCCAGAAAATAATATAGAACAAATTTAATAGGTAAATCAAATTATAAAACTATTAATTGAACGGTGGCAGAACTTAAGCTTATTAAGACTTGCATTTGGTGGGAATATTTTTGCTTGATCGATACAGTGATCGAGAGAATATTTTGCTAATATTGCGGGATAAAAAAAACGTTCTTAATCTTCTTTGATCTTCTCAGCATAAAAACAACGACTTRACGACAYGGAGAATTATAYAAAAACTGCTGTCTTCCCTAYTTGATAAATTGATTGTTTTGGAGTGAATTTCATGACAAAACAAGCTTTAATTTCGCTACTCAATCAATTAAAACTACTGACTTGATCGTTAATCTTGAAACTTTTCAAATATAACTTAGAAAAGCTTCAAGTTAAAGAACATATGTATAAACTATCTAAATAGTGATGAATTTTAGATTATTTGATTCAGTCTTAACTCATTTTCAAAGAACAGAGCAAGGTCAAGATGGGCAAACATTAAATTCGTCTCAACTTCAAAATCACTCACTCTGTCGCGCATCTGGAGACCTTGATTCTTTCGCATTTGGATTCTCTTTGAAGCTGTTGAACAACCCTCTGTTGTTCTTGGATCTCGTTCTCCTTTTTCGCCGAGCTGTACATGTTTGGCGATGAACAGAAACTTTTTGATTTGTTGTGTACAAGTTGTTGTTGAAAGTGGGTCTTCTATTCGCGAAGGGCGGAGAGTGTGCAGACTGGCAAACAGGAAGAACCCCATATATGGCTCGTGAAAGCTCATTTCCGGTTTTGATGGGATTCCTGTGTTGTGCTTCAAAATGGCGGAAGAATGGAGGTTTTGACAATTTTTCAAAACATTTGTTCATCGCAAGCTTACAATGAATTGAGAGTCTCGCTAGATAAGGTAATACTATAATCRATATTCTAAAGCTCAGGTTTTTCTTGCAATTGATCATTTTTATGGAAAGAAATTCCAGAAAATCACACAAATTGAAAACCGTCTCAGGCCGAAAAMCAAAACACGTGCTAAAATCGCGGGGTTTTTTATCGAATATATACAGAACTATTTGATATATTAGTCCTCTGGTTGGCACAAACATTGCACCAGTTAATTAAATTTTTCACTATTAAATCTTAGGAGGAGTTGGTTGGGGTCCTTCTGAAATACCAAAGCGAGTCTACACAGTGTGGTGGGCTGCCTGCGTATGAGCAAACATGTAATCTGTTGATGTGGATAACAGACAATGTTCTGTCTATCAATGGAAGCAACTGTAAGTATCCTTGGTTTAACAAGTTGATGATGATTAAATTTTGTGATGGTGCAATGATTGTATTGCTATCACAAATGAATAAATAAAAACAAAAAAAAAAACTATGGGCTATTGAATAACTTAAAAGGCAGAGTGCATGGACAATAGAAGCTTAGATATTCAGCATCAAAAACAGATTATTTTGTACAATTCAATACCAGTGGCATACAGGCACCATCCCATTAGCCATCCCCCTCCACTCCAGAAAAATATGACCCCTAAAAAAATAAAAAAACTCTTATTTTGAGAGGGTAGCACATAATAGTCTCTAGACTAGTAAACTTGTGGCCCTCTATATATTCACTCACACTCACTACCTCAATATTCATTATTTTACTACACGACACTCCTCACAGCTAGTTTTTGATTGAGGGTGGAAAACCAGCGTACCTGGAGAAAAACCCTTGGAGCAAGGAAGAGAACCAGCTCACAAACTCAAATCACATATAGTCCCGGACCGGGAATCGAACCAGGACCACAGCGGTGATAGACCGACGTTTTAACCACTCAGCCATCCTTGCTCCCCTTCAGAAAAGGGGTCTGCATCATGAGATGATCAGTTAATGATGAAATTTTACCTTTAAGAGGTTCTGTCTTATTTGCTTTGGTTTCTTGGATTTTCTTTGTACTTTGATCCTATCGTCAAATGCTACCAGCTCATAAGAGTTTATATATTTAGTGTAAATATTGTCAGCTTTGAGCTCTCTAAAGAAGACTTCAAAACTCAATTAATGGGACCAAAGCACTTAATTCCAAACCTCCCTCCTCCCTCAATTGAATACCTAGAGGAAGGCCGATGGATGCCCTTGGTTTTAAATTCCACTTTAAGCTGTTGGTTACAATGTAATGATATTCATTCTAAGATCAAATATTCATTTTATAGACATTGAGCCTGAGTTTTCAGCAGAAGATATACATGGCATAGAGTCTCTATTGTCTGTTTTTCATGTTGTTTTATTAAGTATTGTGAAGACAGCCAATGAAAGCTCTACTAGTACCAATGAGGTAGGCCTTGCTATGACAGTAGTCTCTCTGTTGTAGCTTATCTAAGCTTTCCACATCATGCATCAGTAGAGAGCTTGGGCTGCCTGTGGTCCAAATCTATACTCACTGGTACATAACAAAATAGATCTTCATGTCATTGTTTTTATTGCCTGTCAATCATAATATGCAGTCATGTGACCCAAAGACCATATAAAGAAACACTCAATGAGCTTGCATTTTATATGAAAAATGAGGTGACCCCAAATATACATGGCAGTCCATGTCCATGAAAATAACCATGTTCAGTTGCATAATTGTCAACAACTGCTTCACTGTTTCATTTAAAATGCAAACCACATGTCTTTAATATGAATCCATTAAGGGATGACTGGGTGTCTATGAGACAAAAAATACTGTAAAAACATCAGCTACTGCTTTATTATTCAAAGATTAAACAAATAATAAAGAAAACAGCCCCTATTGCTGTGATAGTCTGTGCAAGTCATATGGAGCAGCATCAATGGACAAGCCAGGTCACAAMAAACACTGCAAAAGGTACAACAATGTGATTATGATATAGATATTTGTATTTTGACGAATATGGTAAATTGAAAAAATTAGACTGAGCGATTTTCATTATTCCGTGAAATACACTTCAGTATATGACATTTTATAGAGTCAAATTTGTATGAGTGGGAAATGTACAGTAGAAATTACTGCACAGTTACCAGACCTGACCTGCACAATTTTTGTGAAGCAATGAGACACTAGAATTAGGTTACAGTACGATTACTGTTGTTGCAGTACAATATCGTCCGTTTCCCACTCATACAAAATTGACTTTTAATATTAAACTATTCTTCATATTATTTTGTGCATCTCTTTACAGTATAAACATTCTACATATTTTTATACCCATGAACGTCTTTGGCTACTGTATTTTGTCTCACGGGTTGCAAAAGCCACTTCTCAAGTCTATATCTCTTTGTTTTCATTTAGAAATCCTGCAGTTGCTATGTGATGGCTGTCAGGTTGAAAATACATCACAACTACTGGCTCCCAATAGAAAGGATGCTCTTTGCAAGTCACAGGTCTTTCAAAATGGACTCCTAGATAATGTTCTTGATATTCTACTTACAAGACTTGAGTCATGGCCAGCATTGCATTATACATCACACTGGTGTATTACCCAAGTAAAGGTGAGGATCATTGAATAGAAGGGAAGAGAAGAATGGAATGGGATGAGAGAGAGACGTGATGGTCTAGTGAGTAATTAAGGGATTGGACTTTGGCCTGTACAGTCATGGGTTCAATTCCTAGACAAGGTGATCATGTTGTATCCTTAGGCAAGACACTTTCTCAGTACTTTAGACTGCTAATAGGTTTTCTTTCTGGGGGGCCGAGAAGAAATGGTTCCCCAGTAGGAAAGCAAGTTGTTAGCAGGGTATCAGTATCTCTCTCCAGGTGTATGAATGGGTAGGGAGTCATGACTAGGGCTGGAATGGAGGGACAACCATCTCTACCATTTTTGTAGAAGGCAATGAATGGGCGAGGAGCATTCTGAGTCTCCTCTAGCCTGAGTGCAGTTGGTTTATATTTTAAAATAGTTTGCACTCAGGCTAGGTCCTAGTCTTCTCTCGCAGCCGTCATGAGGCTGGTTCCCAGGTCTCTCCCCAATTAGCCTCATAACGGCTGTTAGGAGGAGAATAGCTATGGTCCCCTCCTACTACATTTGACAACTCTAATAGAATGGAAGTGAAGGGGGATTCAATGGAGTAGAATCAAATTGATATGATAATCAATAAGTTAGTATTGAATTGAATAAAATAAAAAGACAAGACCTGTGTGCTTTATTTCTTAATGTTGAGCTGTGTATCTGATAGACAGAGAAGAAAGACTGTCTTGCTAGATGCATGCTTATGAGTTCGAAGCATCATCTACCTTGTTGAGACATTCCTCTTATAATGTTCAACTTGATTTACATCCATTGGAAATAATGGAAATAATGGAAATAATTAATAATAGTTTTGATTTTTTTTTTACAGTATCCAAATCTTGGTGATCACTTGGCCAAGCTTTTAACCCTTTCATTAAAGCTCRCTGACAACCATCAGGTATGTACTAGGTACTTACAGAGTTTAACAACAAAATTTTGGTGTACATAGTTTATGATATGTAGTTTATTGTTGCTCTTACTGTATTCTTGTTTCATTTTGTTTTTGTATAATTCATTCTGTTTTATAGGTCTGTCATAAGGTTATTGGTATAAAGTGTTTATATCATATTATGAAAAATTCAGTAAGTAAATAACACAAATAACGTATTTACCAATAATTGACAGGTATCAATCTTCACTAGTTCATCTCACTGTTCTGTGATGCATAGTCACAGCTGCTTTTGAAGAAGACACGACTGCTAATGAAAAATGATCACAAAAATCTTTTTTGATAGCCAATATAAATCATTTTATTTAATAAATAATATTATAGTGTAATTCGTATAAATAGAGTTTTTGAAAAACATTTTAATTAACAATAAAGTTCTGCGATAATACATTTTGGTTTAATACACAACATTTCGACATTATCAACATCATTATCAAGTGAGATAAAATGCAAAAATAAGGATATATATACAAGAATAATAATGAGTAAAAAATTATAATAAGAATAATGTTAAAATGACATTTGATAATGTCGAAACGTCGTCGTGTAAAATTTTTTTAAACCAAAATGTATTATCGCAGAACTTTATTGTTAAATATAACTTTAATTATTATTATATTATATTCTTAACAGAATGCAGCTGAAATTATATGGTATGGTAGATGTGATGTTATATTTGAGGTAAATACCATGCAAACTTAATCTTTGAACAAGAGATGATAAACTGAATGTTCATTCGTCAAGAAGACAATTTTACCGATAGTCATGATGACATTATGATGATAGTCTCCTTCAAGTTTCCCTGCACCATCTTGAAAGATAGCTGTGACTTTGCATCGAAGCAAGACAATGCTTGAGTGTGTGCAATGATAGAAACTTGTGAATAATTGTCTCAAGGTGTGAAAAAAGGTTTTTATCATTGCATGATGGCGATTGTCCTGCTTCGATGCAAAGGACTGCTATCTTAAGATGGTGCAAAGAACTATGACGAAGACCATTAGATGAACTTATTGACGTTTAAACTCTTATTGTAGTAAATTGGTCTTTGAGTGCATATAATCACATGTAATATAAAGTTTCCTACAATAAAAAGTTAATCTTCTTTCCTTTCCAGTTGTTGCAAAGATTATTCTACCTCAGTGAGCCAGAACTTTTAGAAATCCTGTACCCTTGTATCATACTAATTTTACAAATATTCAAAACAAGAGACAAAGACAAAATGGTGAGAATCAGTCAATCAGTAAATAGCCGACTTTAGATA